CTGCTTCCCTTTGGAAGAGGCAAGGCATTTGGATCTCGTGATGAGAGCAGCCTCTTCACGCCCAGTCGCAAACAACAGCCCACTTTCTCTGGGGCTTGGCAACCCTGCACTGGCGTGTTCTTCCCCTCGGGGGAGGAAGATGATGACCGGAGCCATTATCTGGCACGAAGCTTCGATTGACATGGTGCAGCCTCGTCCCCAAAGAGGCCATTTACTTGGGCAGATTTAGTCAGCGCGCTTCCTCCGTTCTGTATTAAAAGTGATGATTCGGCTCTTGGTATGTCCGATCATATAGACCCATTACTTATTAATCTAGGACTTCTGCTCCCCCACCGCCTTTTTGTGGGGGAAGCCAGCCAGGCTCCTCTGGGGGGGTAAAGTGGCAGCAGCCCCCTCCCCCCGCAGCTTGGTTCTGCTGCAGAGATTGCCCGGGAATGTGGGTGCCCGTTTGCTCATGATCCTCCCTAAGAGCCAGAACCACAACCTCAAACGCTGCTCTTCATTTTGAATTGCACCAGCTGCCACTCCAGGCCCTGGAGCACGGGTGGCACATACGCTGCTTTGCGCAGCTGCCTGGCATCCTCGTGGTGCCACACACCCTTTTTGGAGCATCTTTGTGCAAGGGAAGATCGAAGGCTTTGGCTGGTGGACTTGAAATTCAAAACTGTGATGGGGACAGATTGGCTTCCTTAGAAACATAGAAAACATAGAAACATAGAAACAGAGTGAGTCAGAAGGGGCCTCCCGGGCCATCTAGTCTGACTTCCGGCACCAGCCGGCTCTGCTCACGACATGCCCACCATGTGGACGTCCAGCCTATCCTTGAACACCCGCACCGATGGGGCCTCAACCACCTCCCGTGGAAGCCCATTCCACACCCTCGGGGTCCTGACTGTCAGGAAGTGCTTCCTGGCATCCAAACGAAACCTTGGCTCCCTGAGCTTTGCTCCATTGGAGCATGTCCTGCCTTCCTCTGCAGGGGAGAACAGGTCTCGACCCACCTCCGTGGGACACCCCCTCACATACCTGTATGTCGCCAAGAGATCCCCTCTGAGTCTCCTCTTCTCCAGGCTGAAGAGACCCAGTTCCCTCAGTCTCGCCTCATACGGCATCCCCTGCAAACCGGCCACCAACCTTGTGGCCCTACGCTGCACTGACTCCAACCTGGCTATATCCTTCCTGTAATGAGGGGCCCAAAACTGAACACAGTACTCCAGTTGCGGGCGCACTAGAGCCGTGTAGAGTGGTAGTAATACCTCTCTTGATCTAGAAGCCACACTTCTGGCTATGCAACCAAGGGTGGCGTTCGCCCTCTTGACCACCACATCACACTGCTGGCTCATGTTCAGCCTGCAGTCAGCCAGTACCCCGAGGTCCCTTTCACAAGTGCTGCTCTCCAGCCACTTATCACCTAACCTGTACTTATGACAGCTATTCCTATGCCCCAAGTGCAAGACCTTGCACTTATCTGCATGGAACGCCATCCTGTTGTCTCCTGCCCACTTCCATAGTCTGTCCAGGTCCTTTTGGATCTGGAGTACCTGCTCCTCAGTTGTGGCCACTGCTCCAGTTTTAGTGTCGTCTGCAAATTTGATCAGCAGACTGTTCACCCCTTCTTCCATGTTGTTAATGAAAAGATTAAACAGGATCACCCCCAGGACAGAGCCCTGGGGGACCCCGTTTGTCACTGGCCGCCATCCTGATGATTCCCCGTTAATGGTTACCTTCTGCTTTCGGTCAGTCAACCATGCCCTAATCCACCGGACAGTGCTTTGGTGTACCCCAAAACTCAGTTTCTCCACCAGGATATCATGGGGCACTTTGTCAAAGGCCTTGCTGCAATCCAGGTAAACCACATCCACTGCATCCCCTCCATCTAGCCATCTTGAATCCTTGTCATAGAATTCCACAAGGTTTGTCTGGCAGGACCCGTTTTTGCGGAAGCCGTGTTGTGTGGCTGCCAGCCTCCCTTCCCTATCTAGCATCACTAGATCTCTCTCAATGCTGTTGCGTCTTCCTGGATTAGGAAACCCCTTAAAGTTCCATTTTCCCTGTTCATTTGAGTTTGAAAAGGGCTTGTGACAGGCAGCTGAGTGGCAGAAGGACGTCTCCGTGCCAAGCATCCTCTGTGCTTGGACTGTGCTTTGGTCCTCTGTGCTTGGACTGCCTTTTCAACCGGCCTGGATTGCTTTCCTGGAGTTCCCTTCTTAGATCTCTACAAGTACTTCAAAAATAGCGCCTTTGTGTGTGTGTGTGTGTGTGTGTGTGTGTGTGTGTGTGAGAGAGAGAGAGAGAGAGAGGTTGGGTGAGCTGATCCTTCCAGTGGAGAGAGCAGGTCTTCTCTATCATGACTGCTGTGAAAAAGCCAGGGACCCCGAGGGATTTGAATCCAGGCCCCCTTGACCCTGATGCTTAGTCCTCTTCACCTGAGGGTCGTAGCTCAAGAGTGCCAGGTGAGAGGGTAGCGTTTTAATCTTCAGGTGGGGATTCCTAGGGAGCTGCTGCTAGTCAGAGGCCAGGCGTTGCAGGGCTGGGTGGCAGGAAAGCTCAGCTGCTGCACGAGGCTGGCTGCATTTGTTTCTTGTTGCATCTTGCCAAGCCTCACCAGAAACGAGTGTTCTCCGGCCAGCAGATCCTTGGTTGGAGCCTTTGCGCAGGAGAACAAGGGTGGAAGGGAGGAAGTCTAAGAACAATGGGAGATGGGACTGAGGCGGGGGAAAGCATGACATTTCCACGGGGCTTTTCATCTTAAAGGAGGATCTGTAAACACATTTGCAAGCTGTATTACTTCATGCCCTTTATAAACAAGTTTGCTTTACCCTTTTCTGATGGATAAACACAATATTAGTTGAAAAGGCGCCACAGTTTGTTTGTCAAGTTCTGGTCATAAACAGATGACAAACTTGCAACAAAACGTCCCCTCCTCTCCTTTATTTATTCTGTTCCCATCCCACACCTCTGTTTGTCTGGGGCTGTTTCCATTTGGTCAGCTCACTGACAGAAGGTGGTCAAATCTTTACAGGGGGAAGAGAAGGACCCAAGTTTTTTCATCAGTTTGGCTGCTTTTGTACACATTGTGCTGTTTATGCTCAGGATGTTCTTTAAACTGGGGGTGCAGAGCCTCAGGCTTGGGGGGCCAAATCCAGGCCTCTGAAGGTCTAAATCCAGCCATGTGTGGTTCTCTCACGGCCTGCCTCTTCCCCCAGAATTGTCAGGGGGTTTCCTTCTTCTGCGCTGCATTGCGAGCGGCCTCCACACAAGAGCGTGCCTCCAGGTCGCAACAGGCAGGACGTTGGCCTCAGCAGGCCAGCGGCAAAGCGCGATGTACAGCACCCTGAAACTGCATCAGGACGTAAGAACTGCTTTGGATGGAAAAGGTCAAGATGTTGCTGTTAAGAAAGAAAGCCTGAAGCAACTTGGGACCACGGTTTGGGGTCGCTTCAACCCATATGTCTCAGCTCAGTCTTTGGGTTCCTCGGAAGGGGCATTCCTTGTGGTGCTGCTTCCTGGATGTGGGGCTTTTCAAGTGTCACAGCACGCTCCCTGCTCACACCTGACGAGCTCCTATGGTTCTGACTTTCGGAAGGATGACTCTTTAAACGAGCCTGCCCTCAGGTGTGGCCCGGCACCTTATAACTACTTCCACTGTCCAGCTGTGATTATTTTATTTTACTATTACATTTTTGTTAGGCTTGTTAATTCTTAAGGCCCAACCATGGTTTGTGATTCGCCTGCACTGGCACTTCTGCTAGAGAGTGTGCAGGCCAAGTTCCGTAGCTGGGCAGAAGTGAGTTTTCAAGAAGTGTGTTGGACTCTTTCCCGGGTGCCCAAAACACTGGTGTGGATGGAGCAGCAGCAGCCCTGGCTTGCTACAGAAGCAGAAGGGGACAAATGACTGGCTCCTTTGTGAGAGGGGAGGGTGTATGGCTGCCAGCTGACGCTCCCAGCCTGCTAACCATGGTTAGGAAGGCAGGCAGGCTGGCTGTCTCAGCCTGCGGGTGGGGAGAGCAGAAGAGAGCCTTCGAACCTTCGAACCACCACCCCCATTTTCCTTAAAAAGCTGGAAGAGAGCTGTCTGCATAAAGAGGCTTTTGCAAGAAACCCAAAACCGGTGTAAGTGGGCCAAGACGAAAGGTATGATAGATGTCATGGCGTGCATTTGAAAGGCTATATGGAATGGATGTAAAAACCCTCTCCCCCATTTTTCTGTTTGGGAGGAGAGGGGATAAGGCAGGTTTAACAGTGTATCAGCTTACCTTACTCACTGAGGATGGGTCAAATGTCCTTTTAGCTCCTGCGGGCCCAGCAGAATGATATATAGGGCAATACGAACCGGAGCCTGTCGGTTATTTCAGACCTCCTCAGAGCAAATGAGTGTTCTGCTCCCTTTTCCAGTGTGCACATCCAAAAGTTCAGGATGGTTCTGGTTCCTTCTTCAGCATTCCTGCGACCCTTTAGGTCAAACAGACCACTGAAAAAACCAAACCTAAAAAGTAAATTGTTTGTGGAGGAGGAGCAGCAGCTGTTGATGCTGGGGACAAGAAAGCGGCCCCACTGTGGAAGGGTCCCATGGGGGGAGGTCTTGTCCAAGGGCCCTCCAAACACTGACGCCAGCACTGCTCAGGCCACGCACACAGCTCAGCCTCAAGCAGAGGGAAGGGGCTAGAGGGTCGCGGGGCTCGGGTGAAATGGCTGCCACCGCCCTCCAAAGCCCGCACCTGCTGTCCGAGGCAGGGGTATCCCTACCCAATGGTAGGACCAGCCCCGAGAGGGCGAGCCTCCGAGCCACGGTAAGAGAGGCGGGAAGGAAAGCAGGGCGGGCAACGCGAGCTGCGTCGCCGCGTGAGCCCTGTCCCTGCTGTGTGTGTGTGAGCAGGGTGCGTGGGCACTGTGCATGTCTGTATGTGTATATAAATAAAATTTCCTCGGGGCAGAGTTGGAGCTGTTCAGAAGAAAGCCGGTGGCAACATGCTCAGTACTATCTTCTGCTCCTTCCTCAGGCTGCTATCCTTGCCCTGGGCCAAACCTGAACCCTGTCGCGCTAGGGAGTCGGTGGCTGGCTTACGCTGAGAACAAGGTAAGGAAGCAGCACCCCCGTCCCTCCTACCTCGCACTCCCGTCCTTTCCTGCCCTGGGGCCTGACTTGACCGGCTTCATGGGCAACACGGGAAGCCTGCACAGGAGTGCCTGGGGGCATCCGAAATGCCTCTCTGGGCAGCCCACCCCGGGCTCCTTGCCAGTGCCCTGTTAGGCCTGGGCACTCTGGGGCACGCTAGGTGGGCTGGGCTGCCCCACCGCCACGGCTCGCCTCGGGCCGCTATGCCTGGGAACGATGCGCGTTGCCGGCCAGCACATCTGGGGGCACTAGCTTGGGGAAGGCTGGGGCTTAGGGCCCCCACGGCATGACGTAAGGAGGGTCGCTGCCTCGGGAGGCGTGTGGCGCAGCAGGACACCGGCGGAGAGGCAGGAGGAGGACGCCCTCCAGGTGGAGATGCGGGGCTGGAGTCATGTGCCGTTTGGCCCCAGTTGGATAGGGTGGCAAAGAAGTGCTGCAGAAGAATTAGGTCAGGGGAAACGCCGCCTTGCCAGCGCAGTCACACCGCTGACGTCCATGTCCTTTTCCCTCGAGTCCTTCCTCGGCTTTCTGAGGTCCTTAAAAGCATCCATGTTAGCTTGCTGCAGCCGGGTGATTTCCAGATGAGTTCAACTGTAGCTTTTGCCAAGGCCACGCTGACTGGGGATGCGGAGCACTTCCGTCCAACCCATCCCGAGGGCCCTACCTTGGAGAAGGCCAGCCTGCCTGTTTCTCAGCACACTGCAGCCGCCCTGTCTGTGACGGCGAATCCACGCAGCTTCGAGCACTTGCCGGCATCCATTCAAACTGATCCACAGGCCGCCTTCCAAGGCTCTGCTCTTCTCTCTCTCTCACAGCCTCCCCTCTGCACACCTGCACATGCTTTTTAAAATAAGTGTCGGCAAGACGGTTCAGCTTGTAATTGAGAACTGAAGGATGGAGCCCGGGCGGCACCCCGATGTGTTGCACTACCAGTCTCGGTGTGGTCGGCAGTGGGGGTGTTGGGCGCAGGGGTCCTGCACTTCCGGGGGGCACTGGCAGAGCGAGCCTGTGTTGCAAAGTTGTGTGGGTAACCGTGCGGGGCTTTGTTTTTGCCCTCTTCTCGCAGCTGATCCGGTGCCATCAGTCCCGTGGCGGGGCCTGCGGAGACAACATCCAGTCCTATGCTGCCACTGTCATCAGCGCGGCCAAGGTGAGTCTGTCTGTCCCTGGCCGTTGGAATGGCCATCTGACCTGCATGATCCTTTACATAGTCCCTCAGAATCTCAGCTTAGGGGGATATTCTTGGATTCCTTGGGGGATATTCCAGGATGGCGCACAGCACAAATGCCCAAATAGGGACCCACCCCCTGCCCCAGAAAACGGCTGATTTTGCCTCCGTACGAGGTGCGATGTGCATGCAGGCTAGCAGTGTGCACGAGGGGCTCCTTAGCCGTTTGGGGCACGTTAAAAAGAGCATTCTTACAGGGCGCCTCTGGAGCCCTCTTGGCACAGCCACATGCTCCCAGTCTCCTCTGACGCCTCGGCTTTCATCTGCGGGTAGGACAAGCAGCCCCCAGGTGCCTCCACTGAACCCTGACACTCGCTTGGGGGACAGCACCATAGAGCACTTTGAGCTTCCTGGAGGAAGTGGGGGGGGGGCAAGTGCTACTCTGACCCCTACCATCCCACGGCCTCGGCTGTGGAGTCCAGCAGTGTCTGTCGGGCCACATATTCCCTGCTGCAACACAGACTTAAATGTGATATGGGAAATAATTATCTTCATCTGCTTAACGACTGCAAACCTGACTTTAAAATGGGACATGGGCCCCCACCGCCCTCCGTGCCCGGAACGGCGCTGCCTCCGTCCCTGCGCAGGCACTCTGCTCTGCGTTGGTAAACAAACGGCAGCCCTCCAGTCCACGGCCAGGTTCTTGCGCTCTGTACTTACAACTTGCCACCTTGGCACTTTGTGAGAGAAAACACGGCGGTTTTGAATGAGAGGGCCTGAAAATGGAGGGTTCCATCAGCAGGCCTGGCTGACCTCAACAAAACAACCACTCAGAGCAACCCACACAAAGGAGCAAAGGTTGTGCCACTTCCTTAGGAAAAACAAATACAACTCCGAAGAGCGGCGGGGGGAGAGGCGAAATGTGTGTCTTGTAATGACGACTCTCGGTGCCAACGGAGCCACCATTGACTGGGGAGAGAAATCACAGGTTTCGGACTGCTCTGGGGAAATGCGGAGCTCCCTCCTTTTGTTTGTGTGCCGTGGTGGGAACGCCGCTTGTGCGAGCTTCATCCGTCATCAGTGGGCAGGAAAAGCAATATTCTTTTCCCCCTTAATTGCATTGCGTTCGACACACTGTCATTTTCGCCCTTTTAAGGGTGGTAGTTATTGAAAAAGTTCTCTCTCCGTGTTTGGACTGCCACACTCGTGTTTTTAAGAGGACCCCATGCCCTGCTGCCCCGGGAGGGGGCCCTGGATGAGCCACTGGGTATTTCCCACTGCTGGTGTCCAGGATGGCTGCTCGCCCTGGCTTTGGTAGCCAGCTGCCTGGTGTGAGGGCCCTGTCTCCACCCTTTTCCCGGAGTCCCGTGGCAAGTACATCCGGCACAAGGAAGGTACCATACCTCCTTTGCCAAGAGCCCCCTCTGTGTTTGGAAGCACTTCCTTTCATTCCCTTTTAAAAAACGTCATTCAGTTTTAATTTTTTGTTTTTATGAAATTGAACCATACAAATAAAAAGCACAATTAAATTCATAACAAAAAGAGGGCACCCGCTAAGGGAATGTTAAACCATTTACCCTTTCAGGAAGTCCCGTTCCCCTTCCAAAATTGCCATAACTCTTAGGATGGTTCAAAGCCTTTTCCTTTCACTAATACATCCTCAATAAATGATCCCCAAATATCATCAAAATAATTCTTATTGGTGAAGCCCCTTTTCACTGCAATATTGCAGGTTAATGTATCATTAACAGGTCTGTTCCAAACTTCTCTGAACCAACCACCCAATCGATAGTCATATTTTACTTTCCAGTTCTTTGCCATCATTAATTCCGCAGGTGTCAGTAGGCTGATCACTAACTCTGCAATAGTCCATCTCCACTGCTCCTCATCAAATATCGACAATGATGCGATTCCAGGAGTTACTCCATTAGCTTGGACGCGCTTACTTCCAGATCACGGCTGGCAAGGCCGTGAGTGCCGTGCTTTGTCCTGCCCAGGAGCAGCTGGGCAGATTGGCACTGTCTCTGGCCCATCAGCAAAGCTCAGGACAGTCCCAAGCTGCCCCCTTCCTTCCTTGTGTGTGTGGGGGGGTCTGTTGGCAGCTGCCGGCCCGATGGTCACGTGCCAACTCCAGCCCCAGAGGTAGCAGGCCTGCTTGTGGGTTTCCTGTGGGGCGCTGGGGGGACAGAGCCCTCGATGAGATGCTCTCTTCCCCTCCTCCAGCACTGCTGCCCTGACTTGATTTATTTATTAAACTCATATCCCACTATTTTGGCCCAAGAGCCCTTGAAGCAGATGACCGTGAGGGAAAAGCACCGCTGCACGTGTGCTTGCTTGTCCCCTCGGTGGGACTGCGGAATGTCCCACCCCGTGCCCAGCTGAGATGAGACACGCCGGCTCCTTCCACCTTCCTTGCTCTGGGTGCCAGGAGGGGATTCCCAGTAGCCGTGGCAGCTCTGGGTGCTGCACCTGGGTGGGTGTTTTTAAGCACATGCTGCTGTTTCCTCTTCCTGTTCCCCTTGTGGGAGATCTGCGTGTCTGAACGCCACTTGGACTAAAGCGCTGTTTCATATGGGAGATAAACACGTATGAATGCATACACTTGATCTTATCAAACCAAAAGTTAACGAACAACTACAACAACCCATTATCCAGCAGGTCTAATTGATCAATCGATGTTGCATGACTTCATATTTTAGGACTTGTTAATAGTGCCTAACATCTCTTTTCTAATTACACCTAACATGTCTTATCACCGACATTGCGGAATTGCGGTGGGTGAGATTTGAACTGGACCATCTTTATATGAGCATAGTCAGAAAAACGGTTCCCTGCATATCACAGCCAGCTGCCTTACTATCATTCATGCAGGCAGCAGTGGTTGTGTTAGCAGAGCAAACTAAGAAGACCCCCCAAACCTGTTGCTACCTCGACAAGTTTGTGGAGATCTGAATGTGTGTGTGGTGTACTGGCTTCTCTCCTTATTGTATCATCACGACAAACTTGCAAGGTGGGTCAGGCTGAGTGATGGCAACTGGCCAAAGACATGGGGCCGAGTCTCTCCGGGCCTGTGCAGCCCAGGAGCCACTTCATTTTATCCCCTCGATAAATCCCGCAAATAAGGTTAGGCTGGTGCTGTGTGACTGTTTCAAAGGGGGATCTGAGCCTGGGCCCTTCTTCCCATTCAGAGTTCAGCAGTCTTGTCATGATACCTCCCTGTCTACCTCATGGACGTTTTCTGAGCTACAAGAAAGAGCTGTTCCTTTGAATGTCAGTCCTCAGATTTGTACTCACACTTCCTTGTCAGCTAATAACACATGTGCTTGGGTCATTCTTTCTGTCTTTCCAATCCCGAGCTGACAGATCCATGGTTTAGCAACACACACACACACACACACGCGCTCAAAACCGGGCATCTGTTTTCTCTTGTTACCCGATAACTCCTTAATGAGTACTAACAGCTTATGTGAGAGCATGGCCATTAGCACTAATGGACTGGGCAGACAGCTGATACGGCATGGGAAAGGTTAAAGATTACCAAAGAAAAATTCACAGATATGCTCTCTGCATGTGGGGTAGGTGGCACGGCGATTTCATGCTGAAATTATGGACTTGTGGATGAGGTCATATCGTAGTACACTTTTTCTTTGGGGGCTGCTTTGTGCTCCTTTCGGCTGCAAATTGTGACGATTCTTTGCAATGACTGGTTGGATAAGGATGTGGCCATTACTTTGCACGGCAGCCTCTCCTTACCTGTTCTGGACTACAACCTCAGCACGGCCACTGATGATGATGGGAGTTGTAATCTGACCGTGATTAGCCATCTCCCTTGCCCCTTAATACACATTCTTTTCTATGTGTACAATTTCATTTCTATTCCGGCTGCCCTGTGCACTTCACACACACTGGGCAACCTCCAGCACCACCTCCCTTCCAGCCAGTGCACTGGGAGCATTAGTTCAGCACGTCTGCAGGAAACTGGGTTCAAGAAAGCATTGTTGGGCAATCCCCTGTGCCTCATAAGGCGTATGAGTTGGGTAACCTTCATTTCCATTTCCCTGAGCTTGCTCCCAAATATCATCCGAATCTCCTCTCTTTCCTTTCTAGCAGTTGCGATTTTCTAAAGTCAGCACATAAGGGCTTTGGCGTTTCAGTTTTCAGCTGACCATATAAGTTAAAAACTGAGCTAATGCGCAAGGCCAGAACTAGATAGATCAGGAGACACGGGGCTGCCACGATGTCTTTTGCTACCATATTATGCAGAAAGAAGGAAAATGCACAGTAGGCCATCAGTGCAATCCAGGTTTTCCTGCTCCTCCACAGAGAGCAGCTGGTGAAGTAGGTTGGGGAATCCTTTGGCTTCATGGTGCCATGTTGTATGCTTAGTTACTTGATGTTGCTAGAGGGAGGGAGATAGGAAGAAGTGACACGGACCTGCTGTTCTTGGCAGATGACTTCTTCTAATTCGGGCATGTGGTGTTACTGAATTCATCTGAAACTCGGGGGGGGGGGTGTGGCAAGGGGGAGATTTGCGCTCTAATGTTCTTGTATGCCCTGCAATGTGTGTGTTTGCCTCCAGTAACGTCTTGCTTCTACATAAATAAATTAAATGATGCTCTTTCTAACCTGCTCTTTGATTATATCATTTCGCTCTATGTAAAATTTACTGTGTGTTTATAATGCAGTTCCTTTCCTGCTGCTTAGAGTATTGCATCTGCTCGTAATTACAGACGTTTGTTTAATCGCTTGTGGATTATAAAATGGTTGTGATTAATGTCTTGCTGAAAATGGCAGTGTGGGTTTGCGAGTGTGCCGAGGAAGCAGGATTTTGGTTGCTTGACTTTTTCCTAAGCAGGCCCTTGGAGGGTTACACTGTACAGTGGTTCTTCCTGGGGCCCCTTTTATTTCAGATACAGAGATAGATCCCCGATGCCATGGGTTCAAGCTGGGTGGCAAGCCCGTCAACTACAAAAGCATGCCTT